GTCTCGATTATTTGCTCAGCATACAGACTGACTACGTACACTGAGAGGATACTCCCTCTCAGACCTTTCCTGATGTTAAACTGTGCAGTATTCCCTTGTTCTGTACACGTTAAACAAGCAAAAGCTCTGACACAGAGTCAATGCCAACTCAAAATAACCCTCTAGGACAGAGTAGAACTGCCCCTGTGAGTGTCCGGCGCTGTTGCTCCTAGTGGGAATAGAAAACCCCATCCTTCTTCCTAGGAGTACCTGGCAGCTCCAACAACTGCCTGCAATCCCCATATCGGTCCCTGATGGGCCCGATGAAGTATTCTGGAATCCCCATTCTCGTCGAGGTCACCATATTTTGTTAGGATCGATGCAGTCAAAGACCTTTGCATACATACAGCGCTCATGCGTGGCTGGATTTGCTGTTTTATCCTGTTTACTTGGAGTCATGGAGTAAAACAAATGGTTCACATGCTTGGCTGCTAACCGCAAGGTTGTAGGTTCAAGTCCACCCCAAGGAGGTTTAGGAAAAAAGGTCTGGCAACCTGAGCAGCCAGCCCCTGTACCCCCAAGAAACTAAGCAGCACACTCTGTTCTGATGTCCATGCGGTCCACGGAGGTGAAGTCAATGAAACAGCAACTGGATGGTTTGGATATTTGTTCAATAGTCAGTCAGTATTAACAGTATAATAGTCTATGATTACTTCCTATTGTGGACAAATTTTGGTTTTTTGGGGGGGAAACTGCATTTATCCACTTGGCAAAATTTCTATTCAAACCTGTCAACCAAATTGGAAAGTTCTCTCTGACCTAACTGGGGCGTGAACAGTGGCGCAGGCAGACAGTGGACGACGGCGCCTCCTTTGTGCAGGCATGCCCCTGCGCTCTGACCAGGGCCGTGCATTGCTGCCTACACCAGCTCCCCAGCCCGCCCCGGACTTCTGACGTCTGGTTAAGAAATTTGCAGGTTTCCAAAACCTTTTCTCATGTCTGGCCTGAAGCTGTCTACTATATTCTATTGTGAATTCCCGGCCCTCTGCTGTAATAGCCCCCTTTCACTGCTAGCACTACTATTTATTATCCGCTTTTTTTTTTTTTCCTCTCCCCATTCTCTACCTTGTTAGACATGTATTTCATTTTTTAAGAACCCGTTTTGGTTAACTGAACGTCTGTAGGAAACGGCATAAAGGTTAAGAACACTGGTTGTCAAATGTGATGGTTCCTGCGTTAACTAGCTGTGGAACAAGGGCAAGTCATGTCAACTGGCTGGGCTTCAGCTGCTTCATCTGTCAGAAAGGAGATAATGATCCCAAACCTTCTCTAAAACCTTAACTGAAGGTATGGGTGCTAAAAAAAAAAAAAAAGCATGTATACTGGTACAGATAAGAGCTTGAAACACAGGGAATACATGACAGATAAACCCCTCAGGAGCAATAATGAGAGTGGTGATACCAGGAGGGTAAGGGGGAAGGTTGGGTGAGAAAGGGGGAACCAATCACAATGATCTACATATAACACGCCCCCACACCACTGCACGGGGGGAGGAACAACAGAAAAGTGGGTGAAGGGAGGGAGACATCGATCAGCATTTAAGACATGAAAATTTTTAAAAAATAAATTATCGAGGGTTCCTGGGGAGGGGGGGATGAGGAGCTGATACCAAAGGCTCAAGTAGAAAGGAAATATTTTGAAAAGGATGATGCCAACATATGTACAAATATGCTTGACACAATGGGTGGATGGATGGATTGTGGTAAGAGCTGTTAAGAGCCCCCAATGAAATGATTAAAACAAACAAACAAAAAGATACGGGTGCTACAGCAAAGTGTGGTGAAGTAAAGAGACAGTGAGAGCCTGCAATCAGAAAGAACAGCGCCTGGAATATTACAGGCTTATCTTCAGCCAAGCAGCCATCTAAGTAAGGAGTCAACTAGGCCCACATGCAAGCAGCACACCAGCCTGTGCAATCTAAGGATTGTAGATAATGACACCCAAATCCAAAGGAGGGGACAGTATCAGAGCTTCAAGTGCGAGCCCCTGTCTGCAGAGGGCTCTAGGTGACAACAGTAGAACCCCCCAATCCATGTGCAGGCCCCACTTGGAGCAGGCCTCATTTTAAAGTTGTTCCACGTTTGAGTGTTTTCCGCTTTCTCTTTGATGGAGGTTTTTCTGTTTTGTCTTGTCCTTATTGCTGGCTCAGTTTGTTTGCTTGCTTGCTTTACATGATTGTGTTTTGTTTTGTAGGGTTTTCTGTAGATGCAGTCCATGCTAGATAGGCTTACAGAGACAGTAGCTGAGTGGGGACATGGCAGGATAGGATGGAGGGGCAGTGGGGAGACACAACCTTGGGAGTATGAGAAAATATTCAGAAGCGGATGTGATCATTGCATAAAGCAGTGGTTCCCACCTTCCTGATGCCACAACCCTGTCATACAGTTCCTCATGTTGTGGGGACCCCCCAACCATAACATTATTTTCGTTGCTACTTCATCACTGTCATTTTGCTACTGTGATGAATTGTACTCTGCTCTCCTGCCTGGTTATTCTGCCCCCGGGAGATTGGCTTCCAAAAGTACATGAGCATCCTAAATATCTGATAGGCAGGATGTATTTTCATTGTCACAAATTGAACATAATTAAAGCATAGTAATTAATCACCAAAACAATATGTAATTATGAATTGTGAAATATTGATTTCGAATAACAAATAAATGAAATTTTGTCTTGAAGCATGGTGTAGCATGGGTAACAGTCTTCACGCCGGGTACTTGTATGTGGGCATGTCTGCAAGTGGGCAGACCCGCCTGGATAAGGATAGAGGAGCGGTGTCTCAGTTCCCAAGACCATCGGAAATATTGTTTTCTGATGGTCTTAGGCCACCCCTGTGAAAGGGTCATTCAACCCCCAAAGGAGTCACGACCCACAGGTTGAGAACTGCTGGCATAAAGCTTAATATAGTTAAATGACTAAATTGTATGATATGTGAAATATGCCAATAAAGCTATTAAAAAATACCCTTCTCAAATGTTAAGGGCAGCTTGGTGTGTCTAGAACGTTGGTACCAACAGTGTGGTTCATTCTGAACACCCGCTTTCCTTCTGTGAGTGGGTCCAGAGTTCTGTTCTCTCCAAAGCAGACGGTGCCCGTGTGACCGGCTCTCAATAAAAGCTTTGGGTACTGAGTCTCTAAGGAGCTTCCCCGGCAGACAACTTTTCACGTGCACTGTCACAGCCCATTGCTGGGGGGAATGGAATCTGACCCTGTGGAGCCTTCCTGGGAGAGTTCTTTTGGAAGCACGTGCTTGCCTCCTGTCGACCTGGTCCAATGCGCCTGCCTCATCCCTCGCTGTCTCACAGGCTTCCTTGCTCCCTGTCTCGGCTGTGATACACTGCGTGTTAAACCCTGGGCTTAACCCTTTTAGGGGATCGCCTCATTTGGCGGTAGCCATGAAGACCCTGACACAGAGGCCCTCATCTTTAAGGTTAGCGGAGGAAACACAGGTATCCACTCCATCAGGCTCCATCAGCCCTCAAGACGTAATGAAGACAAGAGGTGTGGGGGCGTGGCCAGTCTGTAATGGTCTTGCAGGAGGGACGGAACTGAAGGGACCATTTTGAAAAATTAAGGTGAAAGAACTTTCTCCCAGCGTTGCCAAGGCTCAGCTATATCTGAATGTTTCTAAAGAGGCAGCTCCCAAGGACACAAAACGGCACCGTCTTCCACTTCTAATTCTGGGTTGGCTCTGCGTGCTCACCCTGGCCTCTCGGTCCTGCCTCTGAAGAGGTCTGACAAGGAGTGCAGACACACGCGGGAACTCAAAGGCCGTGACACCAAACCAAGCCCGATTCGCAGACAAAGGAGAGCAAGAAGGGTCTTCCAGACGCAGAGACAAGAGTACATCCCTGAGCCCTGATGCTCCCACGCTCACGTCTAACACTTACAGCAAAGCCCTCTCCTCGCTCGGGAGGATGTCAACACGCGGAAGAATGGCGTGCTCTGACCCAGAGCCTGGAACAGTGGGGATCTGACACTGAACGGCGAGTCTGTCCTCCAAAACCAGGGGCTGCTGAGTTCCCTCCCGTGACCCTGAAGCAGGATGCAAGGGCTACAAGGTATCCAACCCCCCACGACATCCTCGAGTGGATCCCGTTCTGAGTTTACAAATGGCAAAACTCCAGGGTAGCTAGGAGACTACACGGAAGGTGGAGAACTGAGATCTGCAACTAGCTTTGCCCTCCCTCAAAGCCCCCCTTCTTCCGCTCCAGCAAAGTGCCTCCCGGGGCGGTCTTCTACTTGCTGAGGGCAGAGAGAGGATGGTGTTGAACACACAGATTTGATTACACACCAGAGAGTTTTTTTTCAAAAGCAGTTCACTGCACCTCCCTTCCCGATACTCATGTTATTTTTTAGTAGCAAGAGCCAAGAGAAGGAATGCGTGTCCTTTGTTTACGTACTGCCAAGTCTGGCCTACTGCCAAAGGGGAGCAGATGGCACAAGACAATGATGTGTAACGATGCAGTGCGGCTAGACTGCTGAAGATGACATACAACCATGAATATACAGAAAGTCCATACTAACAAAGTACGTACTGGTATATATATATATCAGTGTGTATCAGAAGGTGTACATGTGCACCCGGGTGGGGAGGGCTAGACCACATTCAAATGTCAATAAAAATTGAACATGAAGATGAAGCAGGAATTATTAAAATCTGATTTAGAATAATAGTAATTTCTTTTATACAGTTTTAACTGCTACTGATGTGGGTTTCATGACTAATCACACTATTTCACTACATTCTGGTCAATGACTGCAAAATTAAGAATACAGCATGCGGGAGTGAAGCACACTTTAATAACCACAGCAGAGGTCAATCAGGGACCCATCTTTATTCCCTGCCTTTCTTTCTATTCAGGCCGCCCCCCAGAGTGCAGAAAGGTATGCCAATACCTCAACCGAAATGTTCGAGTAACATTTTCCCAGTGATAAAAAGTTAATTTCAAAATTCTTACCATCATGAATTTCGTAAGCCAAACTAGTGATCTTCTGCGTAATTATCATCATTGGGCTGTGACAAAATAAAAGATATATATTATAAAAGAAGAAAAAATAATTAGGAAAAAAGTCTTGATTTTGCTTATATGAATACAAAATCTTAAATTTTTTTTAATAATAAAAGGGCCATCAAAGGATTTCAAAGAACTGACTCATGAGCTACTAAATTTGGGGAAGCTGTAGGGAAACTGGGGCCTCTCCTGGGGTTAAGACGTGGGGGTGAGGATGGGGGACAGGCTCTGCCCGTGAAGAACCACCTGACTGGGTCAGCAGTAGGCCAGCACCAGCTCATCATTTCCTGCACTGTCCCCAGGCGCCCGAAAGGGAGCCTGACCTCCTGATTTGGACTCAGCACTTTCTGCAAACACAGCTTACCACCACAGGGGAGCATCAGAGGCGTTTGGGGGAGAAGTAGAGAACAAAACACAGTCAGGGGAAGCAGGGTGAATGAAAAACAAAGCCAAAGGTTCTCGTCTCTCGGGGGTCCCAGTTGCTGAAATTTATGCAAAGCATTTAAATCAAGGCACCTTTTAAATCAAGGTAACTTTAAAATCATGTGACAAGCAAGAAAATGGCAGTGTTTTCCCAAGCAGTGACCCTCTAAGTGAACCAACAGCTGAGAAAGGGGGCGGGTGGGGAGAGAACCATCCACATAAGAGAACTACTGGGAATCACTTTGAACATTTTAACTATTCTATCAGCTTATAGATACCAATATTGAGGAATAGTGAGCTATACTTATTTATCTTAACTGTCTGAAACTGCAGGCGCCAGGGCCATGGGGTTTGCCTGCAGACAGACTGAGCTCTCCAAGGTACAGCCTGGCCGTGTCACGGCAGGCCCTCGTCCTCGGAGAAAGGTCAGGCGGCAGCCAGCAGACATTCGAATCCCCACCTGCCTGGTTCTCACGTTGTGCTTTCTTAGAATCGACACTTCCAAGCTTCTTGGGGTGCCCTGCCAACTGCAGGCAAGCAGCAGGATCTTTACAGGTGGAAGCAGGGAAATGACTGCGCTCCTTGCCAGGATATACTGCCCACGGCTTGTCTTACACGCTCCTTCCAGTGGGAAATCAGATCCCGGGCCTTGGCCTCTGAGAATTTACAACTTTATTGCTTTACCCAAGGAACAAAAATCTCTTAAAAACTGTCACACCACAATTGCCCTTGAACTCCAAATTTCCCTTCAGTTCCCTTAAAAACCAATCCTTTTGTGGCACCACTCACGCCCGGGAACTTATTCCTCACCCACCGACTCGCCAGGCTGCTCTGACGGGCTCTCGTTGCTGTCTCTCTCCAGCAAGTTACCCTTCATGCCCCTGAGATGATAAAGATGCCTCGTCCTTTCCTGTTCCTCGGGAAGAAAACCTGATCTCATCAACTACATCATCATTCTCTTCCTGGTTTAGCTCGCTCTCTAAGGAGAGTTCTCTCCCTTCAGTCAAAATTCTAATTCACCTTAAAACATAATAGAAATCACTGTTAAAATAAGTTTGTTTTACCGACTCAACGACACAAGATGATATGAAACAAATCTGTCTTACACACACACACACACACACACACACACACACACACGGCTGAAACTGCTGTGAAAATAGTTAAAATGCATTTGCCATTTCAAAAAAAAAATGCATTTGCCATTTCAACATTTTCAACCTTAGTGTATCAATTACATTAATCACACTCTACAATCACTATCCATTCCTGATGCCGAAGTCCCAATCGTCAGGAGAGAAACCCACTCACTGCTCTCCAAATGATGGTTTCCTCTATCTCTACAGACATGCCTAGTCTGACCCTAACACAGAACTGAAATCATACAGCATGGCAGCGGAGTCACTGGCTTGAATCCGATTGAGACAAGAAACCACGGTCAGGCTTCAGGCGGAGAAGGGACCGGGTTTACATGGATCAATGCTGGCTGCTGCTGGGAAGGTGGCGGGTACCTGAGGTGGGCAAAGGCAGCCAGCAGAAAGCAGGAGATGGCTGTGCACCTGGCCACAAGCAGGCCACAGGTACAGTCCGAGCATTAACAACAACAGGATTTGATGGTGGATTTGACCACAGCAACCAACTAGAAGGACGGAGAGGATGGACAGAAGAAAAATGCAGGTGGAAATGGGGGGG